ACAAAAAAAAAGAAAGAAGAGGAATGTGTCACTGATTGACTAGAAAATTAAATTGAAGATGCGTATACAAGTAGAGTCACCATCAATATTACCTGCAAATCTAAAAGGATTTACCAAATGAGGTCTACCAAGGAAAAGGCGTGCATGTAATATTCCATTGAAACAACGCAACAAACAGAAGAAAGAAAGCGCTGATACAGAGTTAGCATTATTACCACTATGTGATGATTAATGTGGAAAAAAAGTGTATGACTAAGGTTTCAGAAAAAATTTGAATAGATATCCACGATTGGTACATAAATTTAAATTGGGAATCAAGAGGGTTGTTTATAAAAGGGGTGGTTGAACCCGTAAAAACCCGGAAAAAATGCACAATATAACCGCCAAAGAAAGAAATGTATTTTATCAAAATGTGAAGTTTGTCAGGTTGTTCTTCTGACAACACTTGGATATAAGCCAACAAATAATAGATACATTAATTTGGCACTCAGTAAGGAAGTTGAAGACCAAACAGACAAACGAGGAAGCTGCGAACGTATAAATTCATTAGACAAACACATTATTAAAGAACATATTCAAAGTTTCAATCCAAAAATGTTACATTATCGCCGCGAACATGCCCTCAATAAATTTTATTTACCCAGTGACTAAATACTACTATGATACACTAAACTCAGACATGTTAAACATACATTTTACTCAGATTCCAATGTTTTCTTTACATTGAAATTTAAATTACTTTAAATGAATTAAGACTGACTTAAAGATTGATCTCATAATATGCCTTAGTAGATTAAGTATAAAAAAATTTATATCCTAGGAAAAAAATAAAAACTTATCTTGCTTTTAATACGTGTAATTGCAAAGTTCCTTGAGTCGTGATTACATAATTTTCGTGAAAGAAAACACTTAAAGTGGCCTAAAGGGATTTAATTTTTATTTTTAGGTGGTAAAGTGATATTTTTGTAACATTTTTCACAACAGTTAATTTAATTAATAAACATTTTCATACATAGTAATTATGTTTTAATCATTTTTCATATAAACTTATAATATTCTTGCAATCAACCACCGCTGCATTGTGTCTGATTACTAATTAAAGCCGCAATAACTAAGACATTTATTGCACTAATGGTTGGAAAGAAACTACAGCACATACGGTTTATGCTACTCAAAATAGCAATTTTTTATTAACGATAATTTTCAATATATTTATTAGTCTATTTTATTGTGGTTATGATTAGTAACTCTTTATCAAAACAATATAAGTCCTACAGATAAATACACTAATGCGTTTTTAAAGTCTATATAAATGTATGTACAAATATAATATACTACAAAGAATTTTGCATCATTTTAACTGTCGTATAGTAAAAGTTTCAAGTAAATAGCTGTCATAGTTACGAAGATACAGACAAAACAAGAATTAAATCTTTAGCTGCGATTATCTCGAAAATAGCCAAAACCAAGTTATTGTACTCTTCATAAGAAGGGCAGAAATATATATATATATATATATATATATATATATATATGCATATATATCGCTGCAAATATTGCCCAAATGAGCCAATATATACTGGAGGCACCATCCATAAAACATTTCAAGTTTAAATAATCAACATAAAATGGAAAATAGAAAAAAATGTATTCTTAACACTCTTTGTGATAACACCAAGAACAACATATTTTGTACCCATTAAGTTGCAAATGAAGAATTCAAATTTATATAACGAGCATGTATGCGTAGGTATTTGGGATATGAAAGAAGCGAGAGAGAGAGGTGTATCAGTATCGTGCTAAGTTGAAGTACACAGTCTCTGCCTACCCCTCAAGGTGACAGTGTTGAGGTAAATATATATCTGTCTTTGGTCTTGCACAATTATCTGCGATATAACTTCATTCATTCATTCAAGAAGAGTCATCAAATATCAAACTAGATAGACCAAACACCAGCAAGGCAATACCAACTTCACTAAACGTTGATATCGTCTTCATGTGCATTAAGGCACATGCAGGTTTCGGGCCTCGGGGTAAGCCCCCATTACCCGTGTTGTCCTCGCGGTCCACCACTATGGACCGGTCCTGGGAGCCTTCTATTGGCGTTGTAAGTGTCTAGTACGATTTATGTCGTAATCGGTAGATTTTTTCGTAGTCGGTTAGACTACGAAAAAGAGAGGTTATCTGGTAGAAGTCAAGGTTGGCCTATCTGCGGTATTGTGGGTTGTTACTCGACTCTCTAATCGATATAGAGAGGAGTTCTCTTGGATAGGGTCGCCCGTCCGGAGGGCGAGTGTGTAGCGGCGCTAAGTTGTTGAGATGTATGTGTGGCCCGTTGTCTGCACGGTCGAACAGTCCGCGCGACAACCGGGCCACAAACTCCTGGATGGTGATGATCTTCAGGTTGGCCGCTATGACGTCATTCCGGACGTAGCGACCCGCACCGACGATGGTTCTTAACGCCATATTTTGCTGGGCCTGCAGTCGCCGCCTCAGAGGCTCGCTCAGAAGCGCGTACCAGGCCGGAGCAGCATAGGTGATAATGGATCTGATATAAGTTTTGTAGACTCGCACTTTGGTGTTAAGTCGTAACTTGGATGCCAGGACCGGACGTAGCATCGCCCGCGCACAGCGTGCTCTGCGGACGACGAGGTCGACGTGCGCAGTCATGCGTAGCGCCCGGTCGATCCGGCACCCAAGGTATGTCACGGCCTTCTCGTACGCGATCTGCTGGCCATTGAGGGTTAATTGAGGTGGTAGGTTCCTGAGGCGGCGAGTGAGCAGAGCGGTCGTCTTACCAACGTTGACGACCATCCTCCACTCGTCTAGCCATGGTGGCAACAGGTCCAGTAGGCGTTGTATCCTGGCAGTGGCAATGTGGGCTCTTCTGGACGAGGTGAAATAAGCGCTATCGTCCGCGTATAACGCCAATTCCACGTATCCTCCCACTCTTGCAGCCTTCCTGCCAGGGTAAGGATGTCGTTGGTATAAGCCGCGTACAGGACTGGAGACAAACAGCTGCCCTGAGGAATGCCGGCTCCCAACTTCACTAGCGTTGCGAGCGATGACAAGCGGCGTCGATCACTTACCATAAGGTAAGCCGCATGTTCGTTTTTCCTTCTTCTATTAAAAAAAATGTTTCTGGTCGATTTTACTGTTTTATTGCAAAAGTATAATATAAGGTTTAGGTTTTTGAAATAATCATTTTTAACCGTCTTCAAAAAGGAGGTTCTTAATTCGAGTGCATGAACTTTTTTCTTTTGTATGTTTGAACCGATTTTATTATTTTTTGTTAAATAGGCTTTACCTCAAAGGTCCTATTAAATTTTGTAGAAAAAATTCCGCTCCCAAGGGCGGAAAATACTGGAAATTTCATATTAGATTATTGTTTAAAGTATTTTATATAATGTCTTCGCAAAACAGAACTGATTTTATGGTCCCGTATAAATTTGGAGTGAAAATTCCAACGCTAAATGTTGCAAGTAATTAACTTCTTTTATAGCAATTTGAAGTTGGTTTTTGCTTTTTGTTAAAAGTAATAATTATTACAGAATAAGTGGGCTAAACTAGCACATGCAACCTGATAGTAAGTTAATGCCGTGGCCGTGCCGTGCATTTTACTCTGGTATTTTGTGAGAGCGTGGTCCTTCCCAGGTCGAGTCGACGCATTCATGCTACAACTGTTATATAGTTGCAGCATGACTCTACCACGTTACAAACAAAAATTGTTTTGGCTCTGAGATAAATAATTAAATAGAAAATGAAACACTGTGAACATGTTATATATTTATTACATTACATCTATATCTACCTTAAAATACTTTTAAATTGAGCACACCAATAACAATTTGTGAATGACGTTGCTTTGAAAGTACTGCCATAGAATACAAGAAAACACTCAAGTTTACATTTTGTTGTATAAAATATGACAGTTAATCAAAACTGTTACACAAATTATTATTCGGGGAAACTGTCTTACAGGTATATAGCAAAATCACTTTTTGAATTGTAGTTCTATCCTGTTTGTAGTTTAATCAATTCCCTTCATAAAACAATTTCCCCATATAAAGTGGACCTACAATGTCAGCATTTGAATTACACCATCCATCTATGGTTCAGAAATTTGTGGTTTTAAAATCACTGATATTGGTTACTGGGTTGTATGTATGTTGGTTGTATGTATGTGTATTTCTTTACCACGCTCTGTAACCTAAATGGCTTGATAGATTTTAACACAAGGGGTGTCATTAGGCCGTCTTTGTTGTGAAAGTAACCTATTTTTACTCCTTGAGATAGCTAAAGTATGATATATTTTTATTTTTTCCAATATTTACATTCAAACAACTTTGCAACTAACAATACAAACAATGTGCGTCGCACTGACCCTGAGATTGTCCACTGATTGTGCCAGCGTAACCGGTTGTCTCGCTGCGTACGCGGCAAGCGGCCAGTGGTCACGCACACATGCCCCGCGTGCTTGTAGTACTGCAGCCGTTTCGCGCGGTAGTATGAAGCTTTATGTCTGTTCCGTTTATCTACTCATGTGTTACCGCCCAGTACAAAGTACTGTACAGAAACTTCGTATTAATTTTCTCTTATAACCTAGTAGTAAAAAGTATCCCATGAATAATCCAGAATGTGATATCCAAATGTCTTCATAAAAGTAACTAATACTAAACATACATATTGTGGTTTGACTAACATCCCAGATTTCAATAGATACTTCATGTGCTAGCAGAGGGAACTCACATATGGTTAATGGTTGTGTTCTCATTGACATAGCAGATAGCAGCCCATAGTAATATGTTTAACTTTACAAGAGGTAGTGGAAAATGATTATGATGCATTTGTTTTATACATTACATCATGAATAGGCAAGGTGTGATGAAGTTATATAGTAACCCATTCAAATATTGGATAGATTGGATTGGAGATCAATTATCTAAATATCTAGCTGACATTGTAATCCATTTATATGTGTGCCCAATTTAATAGAAAAATCATAAGTCCACAACAGTGGGCGGTTGCCTCAGGGCGCGCTTTAGTGACTCCTCGCGTTTTAACGCCACGCGGAGTCGGGCTGCTTTCAGATGCCTGGAATTAACACAGATAAATATATGGTCAAATAAACAGATCGGCAAAATTTTGATGGTAAGAAGCTTGACCTTGACTACATCTATAAATAAGCCTAAATTGTTGACAGTTTTATGGCGATGTAAGAATATAGGTAGAAGATATTTGTAGTACCATTAACCACAGAACTATCTTTGGAAAATAAAATGTCTTTCTTTCTCAGTTTCTTACTCCATTTCCCCTTCTAATTTCTTCATTAAGAGAAACTTTTTCTTTCAATGTATGTTTATTGTAACTATTGCAGCCTAACAGAAGTTCACATCTGAACATTGGCTTACCCATAGATGCCTCATAAGGGATTTAGCACAAGTGTCACACTTGACAGACGGGAAGGGCAATAAGTTTTTATTTTCTACTCATTATTAGAAAGACGATGATGTCCGTATCCTGATTTGTTTCCCTCCGTCTCCCTTCTACAACACCCACGGGACGATATGGGCTAGTGTATATTCTTATAGAGCTTCAACATGTCAAGCAAGTTGCATGACAACAAGCTTCGGGTCCCGCGCCTACGTCACAGAGAACGAGTGAAGCCGGCCACAGTCGAGCGTGTACCTGCTGTACTGCCATATGTTAGAGGAGTCACTGACAAGATTGGCTACATCTTGAAGCGCGCTTCCATCAAAACGTACTTCAAGCCGCCGAAGAAGATTGGTCAATTTTTACCATCAGTCAAATGTAACGTCCCTCTGCAAGATGCAGGAGTGTACAAGCTTGATTGTGAATGTGGTCTCTCCTACATAGGACAAACTAAAAGATCTATTAAAACCCGCGTCAAAGAACATATAGCTGATGTGAAGAACCGACGCTCCGGGAAGTCTGCAGTCTGTGAACATGTACAGGATCGTCCCCGCCACTACATCAGATTTGATAGACCACAAATTCTCGCTAAAGAACACCGATTCCTTCCAAGGATGATACCCAAGGCTATTGAAATCAAAAAACATCCTAATTTCAATAGAGAAAATGGATGGGTGCTACCATCTGCTTGGGATCCTATAATAAATAAAATTAAATCCCAACCCAAGCATACAACTTCATGATACCATAAGTTCATACTGTGTAGATCGGAACAAAAGTTAAATTTTAATCTATGGTAACCGCAGTTAACTATGACATCTGGACGTTGAACATCTCAGTCCTTCCTGTGACCATGGGTGCTGTAAAGCTTTCGAAACGTCGGTTATTAAATAGTTAAATATACGCGATAAATTCCGTAAAAACTAGTATTATTTCAAAAAAAATACAGTCCGGTTTCGCTAGTTTTGAGCTACGACGCGTTTTGAGTTTTCTATATAGTAATTGTTTTGTTCATTAGTAATTTTGAATAATATATTTGCTTGCTATTGAGAGTTGAGACACAGAGACATTTGTCCTATCCAAGCTAATCTTCCCAAGGGCTGAACCGATTGTTATAACAAGCCATTCCGAAATTTTACGAACAAATAGAGAGTACACCAGAAGTGATCTAGACTAAATTTGATCCAAAAAAAATTGAAATTTTACGAAAATAGAAACATTGATTAGACAAAATAAATAGTCTTTAATGATTTTAAACTAACGGTATAACATTATGTTTTAATAATATACCGCTATTAGTGGGTTTTCGCTATTGATACTATGCATGTTGACGTTACAGACTCGATGAGCTGCCATTTCTAATCCCATTCTTTATTTGTACGAACTGTATATTATAAATTACTTGCCTCTGGCGAATCTTCTCCTGTGTCTCGGGCGAGGGTTGGCGCTGTGTGATTGCGGCGTCTCGGATCAAGTTACGCAACTTCTGTAAGCAGTCCGCCAGGTTCAGCTGCTGGGATCGCGTCGTATCCGACCTGATGATTAGGTATCCATCTTTGGTGAGCTTCTTGCCGTGCTATCAATTAAAACAGAAATATTATATTTTTAAGCGTGTGTTGATATTCATACACACATATTCATTAAAAACTGTTGCAATAAATATTCCGTGCTGTCTCATAAGAATTACGCAATAGTTGCCACGTGTGGCATGTTTATTGGTAACTGCAGTTTTTTTACAATTTTTATTTCTTATCAGGTATATGCTTCTGCCCATCTAGTGTTTCAGTTTCCTTCTGTCGCCTCTTACGACACCTATTTGACGAATACCGGGTAGTGGATATTCTTACACCGCCACACTACTCGGTAAATCTGTCTGTATCTTAATATTTTGTTCGCATAAAATTATATTGTTTATATTTTAAAATTATGATAATGAATATAAGAGTGAATACTAAATCTGCTTTTCTTTAAATTATCCCATATCAAGCCTCTCCAGACCCATATCAGGATGTAATTTCATTGTAAAATAAGCAGCCTTCGTAATAACTGGTTTTTTCATTTACTTTATTATAGCATTTTATCTCGCAACGCCGGATCGGTCTTATTTGTGATAGTAGGTGCAAATGCGCAATTTGTAAGTGTGGGTAAGGTCGAAAGTCAAATTTATTCAGTATCGCCAGGATCTAAATTAAAGAAAGTAGTGATATAAGAAAATATTACCTACAGTTACGAAAATAAGCATGCATGTGTCTACATATTACACCTACAAGATAAGTCTCAATAGCACTTCTTGGGATGTAATATCTATATTAAAAACTCTCAATAGTATGTGTATACATGATTCTTCTTAAATAAGTAAATAAATTCATCTCATGCAAGTTGTAAAAAGCAACAAAGAAAACTGAAACAGAAAATGGGCAGCGTCTTACTAATAACAACCCAATTATTTTTTAGTGTGACTGCCATAGAATACTATAATACACAATAGAATGGTTCTCAAACTATTTTATACGAGATTCGGCGTCGCCGGGAGCACACATACAAGCAATTACGTCATATTATCACTACTACAAACCTGATTCGCTGTTTTGACAGACTAAATTTACACATTTTAGACTTTTGATTAAAGTTCAAAATCATCATTAAAAAAATCGTTTAAATTTTAGTGCAATTTGGAATTTTGTAAATAATTTGCATGCGAAATTATTGTTACGTCAAAACACATCTCGTGTTGACATTTATATGTGTGAATTGACATGTTAGTGACATTTTAGTGGGTACACGGGCTTCACCCACTCCCCCTTTCTATTATGTATGTATTTATAGTATTCTATGGTGACTGCCAATTCGCTTACTTAGTCTGTTGACCCTCTACAGGCCAATCTACAGGGAAGGTCTTTGTTCAGCAGTGGATTTTGGCAGGCTGCAATTGTAATATTCAAATATTTATTATTCTATATTTAGAGGCACTTGTTTACTTTGTAAATTAATAATGTAAACGTAATGTAGATAATTTATTATTCACTAAGAAGAATTTGTTGTTTGTTCTGACAAGCTGACATAACAATATTCAATGTCTGTGTTTTATTTAATAGTCTCAACATAATGAATGAATGAAAAAAAATGGATCATAAGACTGAATCATGATGTGTAAGACAAAAAAAACTGAAAACTAAATTAATGTAAAGCAGATTAAGTATGTGATATATCATACCAATTCCATCATTTTCTCTCTAATATCAGGGTGTAACCAATCAGCCTCACTTAATTTAAACCGGAGATCTACTTTTGTATGCACCTGTAAAAGTAAAGTGTTTTGTTAGACTTTCAAACACTTTTAACTATTTTTTCACTCTTATGCTGCCAATAAGTAGGTGTAAGTCATCATGACTGCCTTGTTGGTCCAGTGGTTGTTAACACAACTGCTGATCAAGAGATTCCAGGTTCAAATCACAAGTGGGGAAAAAAAAATCAGTTATTGAGTTTTCCCATCAAACAATTCTCAACATGCCCACATCTCTAATATTTTGTAAATCGAAATTAAATATTAGGAAATTCTAGTTCCATTTCAGATGCCGCATGGTTTTCTGCATTATATAATGTACACTTCGATTTACATCTTATTTTACAAATTTTTATTGGTTATTAAAATATTAAAATCTTAAATGTTCAATTTTATCTATTTAAAATGTTATAAATAATACCTTCTTCCAAGGTATTAAACTAATCTAAATAAAAATTATAGAATCTTACGTAGGAGGGAGGAGGGGAGGGGATCGAGAAATCTTATGTAACCTTACATGGGGGTAAGGGGGTCCAAAAACAGCCAAAATCATCCTTACGTAATTAATGAATGGCCCCTTATGCCACCATGGCCCCCCATGGGTGACATAAGAGGGAAATTAAACAATAGACAGGCTGCACACAGATAATAAAAAATACAGTTGTCAACCTGCTGCCAAGTGTGGTTATGGTAAATATCCCCCTATGAGACAATTTATGGGTGAGGCCTATATTCACCAATAGACTTTTGTTAGATTGGTAATTACAAAAATAAAAAATCCCTTGGCTACAATGACACAGGTCCTGAGTTAGAGTAGGGTATTATTAGGGTTTTTTCTAGCTATGTTATTGTCCCATATGACAAAAACTGTATCCTAAACTCTGTGATATCTCTGCATTAGAATGTAATGGTAATTTAGAAATATCACATAGTGCATGGGTATGTAGACATTGCAGCAAGCAAATATGTTACAGTCAGAGTGCTTAACCATCTTTAGCTGCATCACCATTTACCATCAGGTGGGACAGCAGGCAAGCCATTACCATTACAGCTTATAAAAGTCCAGCGCTAGCTTCAAATAGTAACAAAATATGATTGTGATTATAAGCTGATGAAGATTTCACTGAATAAGATGTGTTGAACAATTTCAACAAGGTGATATATTCACCCAAGTCATGACAGCAAGATTGACCATTTTTGAAGTCAACAAGGATATATATATGTGTGGTGTGGGGTTGTTATAATAATTATTATAACAACCCCACACCTAGATAACTTGAAGACTAGAGTTTAGAATCCACAGAAAACCACAAGAGACCAATGCTTGGCAGTACTTGAACAGGGTAGAGTTAACAAGGTACCACTATGCTTCAGCTCTATAATCGTTGCAGTATGAAAGGGTCTGCCAATATGGAGTAGGAATGTTTTGTATAGTGAGTGTAGAGAACTGAAGAACCTTTTTATTTGTAACTAGGCAATCCATCTTAATCCTGAGGGGTGACAATGCATCTGCAATTTGATTTTTAATTAATGAACTGTAGATGTTTATAGGCCACAACATCCACTTACCACCAGGTGGACTGTATACTTGTTTGTCATACTTATTATATAAAAAAAGTCTGCTCACGCTCCACAAAAAAATTCAGTTACAAGGATGTATACGATAAGAATGACATAATTGTTAAATAAAGTGAATCTACATGGGATAAAATTTTTAACTCAACTAGTCAAACATTGATTAAATTAGAACATATAGTTGACATGAAGCAACAAAGCTCTGAGAAGTCTGCAGTCTATAAAAATGTTTAAGATTGTCACCACTGTTACATCAGATTTGATAGACCACAAGTCCTTGCAAATCAACACTGAATCCTACCACAGATGATAGGCAAGGCTATTGAGATTAAAAAACATCCTAATTTCAATAGACAAGATGGATGGGTGCTGCCATCTGCTTGTATCCAAACCCAAGTATACCACTGCTGGACTTCAAGATACTGTAAACTCATTCTGTGTAAATCAAACCAGGGCTATGACATCGGGATGTCAAACATATCAGTCCACCACCCCTTCCCGTGACCATGGGTTGCTGTAAAAGCACTCGAAACGTCGGGAATTAAAAATAAGTAAATTATTAGATTATTATTATTAAATGAAAAAATCTGTAAAAATAGTTTTATTCGATGTGTAGTGTTTGTGTAAATATAAAATTAATTCAACATTGACCTACAAAATCCATAAAACTATATACAGAATAAAATAAAATAAATATCTTTTATTACCTTATTTACATTTTGCCCTCCTGGTCCTGAGCTAGCACTATATGTTATATCTAATTTCTCCATTGGTATAAATCCAGAAAACTTTTCTTTAGGATCTGGTGTCTGAAAATAAAATACCATTTACATTTACATAACATCTACACTCTTGTTGTATTGATTGCTTTGAGTTTATTTTATACTGAAAAGTAAAAATAACGGAAAGCTTTAATTAGTAGTAAATTAGTCATGATAAGAATAAATACTTATTTGTAAAAAAAATAATTTATTTGATTATATTCCTTCATTAATCTGAAAAGTTTATCTTAAATCTTAAATGTAAACATTATAATAAACACTGGTGTTAAATGTTTTATTGTCTATGTACATCAATGTTTAATATGCACAAGCAGTTTAAGGTTAGTACTATATTTAAATATAAAATTTTTTTCAAACTTACAAAAGCTGGTGTTGTCAGTTTTAATGAACTAGTAGGGTATAGGGTTTCTAAAGAAATTGCGCTTTTAAATGCCATAGTTCGTTTTATTAAAGTTGAATAGCTGGCCCCCTTTGCCATTTTGGCAAGATAGTTAAGCCGCCAGGGCAAAAATGCCATTTTTATAAACCGTTTTGTCACTTGGTATGAAAATTTAACTATTTACAACATAATATTATTCACGAGTTCACGACGTTCACGTATCAAGATAACCTCAAATTTTTTAACATTTTTTTATTTAACTGGCTTTACGGCTCTGGGTTCTAACCCTTCTGAGCCCATCGTATCTTTCGGGATATTCATTTTTATGATTTTTTCTTCACAATATGCCGCAGACATAGAAACCTATGGACAAATTGACGTCTTCTTTCGCATTCGCACACGAAATAGATAGATTTATGCATACGTCTTGCATAGAAATGAGACAGAGCGGTGTGATTGTTTATCCCTTTCTCCTTGCTGGTTTTTCTGTTTAGCAATCTACATTTTGCTAAACAACTTTGACAGTTCGTAGCAATCTAAGTCCTTTCTTACTCGAGGCCACGCTAATCATTAGTCTATAGGTTTCTCTGTCTACGCAATATGCTGCACACAGTGTGAATTTTTTAGGAGAATTCGACGACAGTTCAACCATGGAGGTTAGAGAACAGGAGAACGATCGCTGTAGAAAATAGTGTCCCAGAAATATGGACCAAATAAATGAGACGCTGCGATCGCTAAGTTGTCTCAATAATTTTAATCATTATAAATATTATAAATTATTACAAATATAAATTATTAATTATTATTGATTTATTATTAATATTATTATCATTTTTATAATAATTCAACATTTTTAATGTTTCTTTTTGTCAATAATTAAAAAATTACTTCGCAGACATTATTTACCGACGGCAGCGCGGCTACAAATTCTACAAGTTTTCAGGGACAGATGGGCTATACTTTAGCACGTAGCGATCGTCCTCCTGTTCTCTAATCTCCATGAGTTCTACCCAGCGGATAGTTATTGACCATGGAGGTTAGAGAACAGGAGAACGATCGCTGTAGAAAATAGTGTTCCAGAAATATGGACACAATAAGTGAGGCACTGCGATCGCTAAGTTTGCTCAATAAAAGTCATTTTCAGTCTATTTTTCCGATCCGATGCTAAACCACTTACACATTCACGCACAATAAAATATTTCTCCATTTTTTGATGTTCCTTTTTGTCAAAAATCAAAAATTACGGAGTACGAAAATTTTCTCACCGCGAAGAAAATTTCACAGCTAACTTCACAGTCACTACTCACCGACGTCAGCGCCGCTATAAATTCTACAATTTTCAAGGACAGACGGGCTATGCTTTAGTACGTAGTGATCGTTCTCCTGTTCTCTAACCTTCATGGTACGTAGCGATCGTTCTCTTGTTCTCTAACCTCCATGGTTAATGACGATAGTCACTCAAGTTCGGAGTTTTGGCGGGAACTTGGCGGTCGACGGATTGTCGCTCCTGTTTTGTCACTTGTATAACGGTTTGAAGTGAATTTTGATTCGTAAAAGTGATGCGATTTTGTGAATTATGTGTCTGCGCGTGTGAACTATTAGAAAAAACGATGAAACAGGTGCTTCGATGTTGATATAAACCTCAAGTTGTTTTGATCGCTTGGGAGCCTTAAGAACTTGAGTGGCTGTCGTCATCAACTACACAGGGTTGAGCTGTCGTCAAAATCTCCCAAAAACTTTGCAATGTGACGCATCAGCATATTGTGAGAAAAAAATATATAAAAAAGAAGATTATGAAAGAAATGATAGACTCAGAAGGGCTAGAACCCAGAGCCGTAAAGCCAATTAAATAAATAAAAAATAAATTACTCAAGTTCATAAAGCGCTTAAGCTGGCTTAAGCGATGAAAATAACTCGAGGTTTATATCAACATCGAAGCACTTGTATCTTGACACTTAATTCACAAAATCGCATTACTTTTACGAATCAAAATCCACTTCAAGGCCGCGGGAACATAGAGCGGCCTTTATATTCTGAAGCGTCACATTGCGAAGTTTTTGTGAGATTTTGACGACCGCTACCCAGCGGACAGTCGATGACGACAGTCACTCAAGTTCATAAGGTGCCTACGCGATAAAAATAACTTAAGTTTTATATTAACAACGAAGAATTTATTATATCGTTTTGTCTTATACTTCACGTTCACAGACACTTAGTACACAAAATCACTTTTTTGATAAAACAGGAGCAACAATCCGTCGACGGTCAAGTTCCCGCCAAAAACTCGAGCTTTTTTTTCTCTTATATGACATAGGCTTGATAGCCTTGAGACATTAAGAAATAAATTCTCGATTGTTTCGTTATTTGTTTTAACAGTTCAAACATTTTTTTTTGGATTATACATTTAAATATATTAAAATTGCCACTAATATTTAGATTATTCTCCAAATATTCCGGTATGTAGTTTTTTATTTCAAAAAACCAATCACGTTCGTAGATTTCTCTAAATTAAGTAGGTATTCAAAGAATGTACGGCACTGAAAATTTCGGGAATCAAGGAAGTGACACAACATTACTATTTAAAAATGTATTTATTGCTTTCGATATTTTCCGCGAAATTTGACACATTTTTCCATACGATGGAACCAATCATTGAAGCAACCATTCCATTCGGAAGTTGGGGTCTCCAAAATGGCCGTTTTATAGGCGTCCACAGTTTCTTCAGGTGATGAAAATCTCTGTCCACGCAATTTATTCTTTATTTTAGGGAAAGTATAGAAATCATTAGAGCTTAGGTCGGGGCTGTACGGCGGATGGTCTAATAATTCTATGTTTTCTTGCTCTAAAAACTCTTGTGTTCTGTGTGCGGTGTGAGAACTCGCATTGTCGTGATGGAGGGTGATGCGGCGGTTGCAGTTCTCTTTACGGAGTTCAGAAAAGACCTGAGGCAAACAAATGCTAGCATACCATTCTGCATTAACCGTTCTTTGTCCCTCAAGAGGAATAGTCGTAACATGGCCGGTTTTGGAGACAAACGTGGCACCATTTTTTTTGCAACACTCGGTGAACGAACAATTTTTGTTCGCTTTAACTCATTTTCGAACACCCAAACTCGTGACTGGTTTTTTGTTTCTGGTTCGTACGCATATATCCAGGATTCGTCACCTGATATGATGTTGTATACAGCATTTGAGGATCCTGCGTGGAATCTTTCGAGAGTTCTGACGCACCAAGTAACGCGAGCGGCTTTTTGCTCTTCACACAGCGAATACGGTATCCATCGTTAAAACAACTTTTTTATACCTAATTGTTCATGCAAGATTATTTGTATTTGACTCATGCCAATGTCTAAAGTTGCCTGAATTTCGCGGTATGTCACATGTCGATCTTCCTCAATCAGTCCAGCATCAACGTTTTCTTGGGTGACTGAAACACTGAGCTTGACACGTCCACGTTGAAATTCAGAAAAACAGCGATAAATTGTGGTTTTTGATGGAGCTTCATCACCAAATGCAGAAATAATCCGGTCAACACTCTGTTTTTGTGTTAAACCACTTCGAAAATCATAATAAATCATCGCTCTTGAATTTTCTCGAGTCAATTCCATTTTCTCAACGACTAAACAAGTTTGACAAAACCATGACAAAACCTTGTGACAAGACCGAGAATCTTTTTTTAAATAAATAAATGGTATTCGATTTTTAAAACCAAGGAGTTTTCAATTAAAAAGATTTTAATATGACAGGAATAGTGGAAATATTCCATTCCCGATACTTTTAGTGCAGCCTAGTATTGTTAAGAGCTTAGGGAATTGAATTACCAAAATTGACACTTTAATTACCGAACAGCAATTAAAACTAAAAACACACTAATAATTAATCACACTTAACACTTAAGTTCACTTAATTTCGCTCCGAAATCTCCGTTTATATCTCCAATTCAATACCAACCTGGTCGCGGTCCTTAACGCCTTTATATAGGGCCTTCTCTACTGAAAATATCTAGAATGTTCAAGTAGAATGGCAAAAGTTCTAGCAAGGAATTTTCTAGAAAGCTCTCCTAGTTCTACTACTCCACACTAGATGGCGCTAGTGAATTTTCAAGAAAGATCTTGACGCTCCTATTTCCGCAACTTGATACTAGATGGCGCTAATAATCACCCGCCATGTACTAGGCATTAATTATTTCTTGATGCTTCGCTTTTGCGATGAGAAAAATTCAATAGAGTCGAATTGAGTGTGCATTTGATAAATTCAATTTGATAGAAATGTTTTCCCGTAGTTTGTGTAATATGACCTAAAAATAAAAAATGATAATAATTTACACAAGAGAATCAAGGGAATTAGGATATGAGATATTGAACCCTGTCTAAATGGTTGATGCTGTAGCGTCAACCAGTCTCCTTTGCAGTGTGTATGTTATATTAATCCACATACATTAATGTACGTGGATTAATTAATGTATGTATGTGGAATGTGGAGATATATGTTAGGCCGGCTAAATATTTTGTTTAAAGTTGACACTTGAATTAACAAAACATTTGTTAGTTAGGAAAGCTACGTCATTGTTTCAACAAGTCCTTACTGCTTTTTTGGATCATTTTTCCAAAAAGCTTTCTGATTGTTAATTTACTTATTGGAAGCATGTATGTGTTTAAACATATTTATTTATTAGATTTATTTTTCTATTATAGGCTTAAGAATAAGAATTAGTTTTAAAATTCAAGAAACCCAGCGAGACATTTTTTGAAAAGAACACAGTTTATAATCATGTATTATTTATTCTACACAATTAACTGCACAACTTATATAAGGTTACTTTCATTCATAAATTTCCGAATATTATAATATTTTACCCTTTTTACAATAATTTTGTATAATAAAGTGTTTAAAGTTGGCGGTGGACAACCTTTCTCTCTATATTTTGTACACATGTTTTAAGAAAAATTGTGTAATTTCTGAGATTTTGTTGTAGGAACGAAAGCACTGTTCAAAAAATGAATTAATGATTTTGTGGAGTCGAGTAACTGGTACTACTACGTAGGACACTCAATAAGT